ATCCCAGCAAGAGGAAGCTCAGACTCAGATTTCCATGATTAAATACTGTGACATTTAAAAACAAACATGAGCAAGAGAAAGTGTACAAGTAAAATAATATAGACTTAAAACTTTAACGGTGGGGCTGACCAGCAGCCCCTGAGCAATGGAGGAGTGGATTACTCCGACAACATTTGTGAAAGAGAGGCTAAGGGACTGCCTGGCTATAGCAACCAAACAGCCTTGATTAACTGCCTTGTTAGCCTTTTATTGTAGCACCAGTTTGAAATAAAGTTTATCTTTAGATACAATCAGCAGGGTAAGTAATATTGGGAGGATACATGTGTTTATAATATCCTTTAAGCAAGGGCACCCAAAGATTAGGCATAAGGATTCCAGTAAACACCTGCAGGTCTGCATGTGCACAGACTTGTCTGGAAAGGTCAAGGAATAATTTAGAGACGCTGCCTCCAACACTCCCCTAAGTCAGAATTCCAAAAAACAGCAGGTGGCCTTCCACACACTTGCCTTTCTCAGAATATCCTCCTAACAAACGTTCCAACCAAGTCTCCTGTGCTCCCCATCACTTTAAAACTGTTTATTACCTCCATAGCCTAGCAAATGCATTATTTTTTAAAAATATATTTTATTGATTTTTCTTACAGAGAGGACGGGAGAGGGATAGAGAGCTAGAAACGTCGATGAGAGAGAAACATCGACCAGCTGCCTCTTGCACACCCCCTACTGGGGATGTGCCCGCAACCAATGTACATGCCCTTGACCGGAATCGAACCTGGGACCCGACGCTCTACAGCAGAGCCAAACCGGTTTCGGCAGATGCATTATTTTTTAATCCTTTTTAAAATAACCTATTTTCTATTTTGCCCATCAGATGAATTATAATACTTCACCATCTAAATTTTTTTTTTCACCATCTAAATTTTTATTAATACATTCAAACTTACCTTTCAAAGATAAATGTTTCCTTTTTTCTTTTTCTTTTTTTTAATTATTACTTTCTGATAGTGCCTTCAGCAAACGGAACAGATCCAGAGACACCCCTTCTTCCAGCCTCCGACCACTTTCCAGCATCTTATCCTGTCACCACCATCAGAACCACCTCTGAGACCAGCCAACACCGTTTTGTTTTGCTTTTCTACCTTAACTCCTTATTGCCGAACAACCATGAGTTCCCAAATTCAACAGAATTATTCCACTAAGGTGGAGTTGCGGTCAGCCGCCTGGCCAACCTGCATCTGTGGGCCTCCCACACAAACCTCTCTCTGGGCTTCTATTGCCACCGAGATGATGCGTGAACCTCTTCTTACTTGATTTGGTGGAGAAGAAGCATGAGGGCACTGACCGTCTCTTTAAAGTTGCAAAACCACCACAGTGGCCGAATTCTTTTCTAGGACATGCTGAAGCCTCCCAGATGAGTGGGCAAAACTCGATGCCAGGAAACCACCATGGCCTTGGAGAGGAGCCTGAACCAGGCTCTTTTGGAGCTGCCTGCTCTGGATTCTACAGAGAAGACCTCAGCACTGTGACTTCCTGGACAACCACTTCCTGGGTGAGGACGTAAAATTCATCAAGAAGATGGGTGACACCTGACTCACCTCTGCAGGCTGGCCGGCCCCCAGGCGAGGCTGGACGAGTATCTCTTCAAAAGGCTCAACCTCAAGCCCTTTGAGGGGCCCTGCTGCATTCCCCTGGTGTCTGGCTTTTGCCTGAGCTTTTCCCCAAAACTAATAGCCATTCTTTTAACCATTCTGAAGCCCTTTCCCATGCACTGGGCCAAATGGAAACAATGAAGCTTTTTGCAGCAAAATAAAATAAGTATTACTTTCTAACTTAACAATATTATGGGTATAAATGTTTGAATCAGTTTCTCAAATGTGAATGCAGGAATAAAGGGATTTTGGATCATAACACTTTAAAATACTTTATCTGAGTAAGTAATTAAGAATTCTGATTTCAGGAAGGGGGGGAAAAAGGCATTTCTTCTTTCCTTGCCTCTTAAAACCCCAAAATTAAAAGACAAATGAGAAAGTGAAATAGATTCCATCTTCAGTTAAACTAAGAGACATCTGTAACCTCAAACTCCAGTATATGAACATAAAAAGCTGATGGACAAGCAGAGATGAAAGTTCAAACTGAAGCGCCCATAGAGTTATTGATGGGATATAAGCCTGTTAGGCCAGCAGGTGTCCAAAAAGATTCAGGAAATAGGTGCACAGGAAAACAGCTGGAGGATGTGTACTACAAAGATGAAACAGTAAACAAGAAACAGAAGAACTGAGATCTAAGAAATGTGGAATCCAAAACAGAAGATAAGCAAATCAACTCCTAGAATGAGAGCAAAGGGAAATCTCAGATGTTGGCAGTTAAGTGGGCCTAAACAGCCACTGATTGAAGCAATTGATTACTTAGTCCTGAAAGAAATAGGAGATCAGGAGGCTGCAGAAGGGATGTCTTCAGGAGGGGGGTAGGGAAGGTAGGAGAACATTATCTAAGCAGTCTGAGAGAAAAATTATATTAAGAGGCATTGCACAGATTTATTAAAGGGTGATAGATGATTTAGTTAAAGATCTTTTAAAAAGAAAAAAAGGGGGAGGAGGGTATTATTGCCAAGAAAAATTTTAAAGTTCAAGAAAGGAAGGAAATTATTTGACTATAATGAACAATATTTTCAATCATGACAATGTATATTGGTTATGAATTTTAAAACATTTTATATAATTATATGGAGGAATAAAGGAAGAGAAAGGTAAAGTAAGCTAAATTCTTATCTCATAGAGAAAATAACTAATTAATATCTAAAACTGATTAAATAAAGATAAAATGTAGAGGTAAAAATACCAGCTGTAATAGCTAAAAGAAGCAGGGGCTGGGAGTAAGGTAGAAGCCAAGGACTGTTTACCTAAGACTGTTACTGTATTTAGTTATAAATTAGGCTCTCAGTAAAAGCTTTATTGGACTTTTTTCAACTTGATAAAAATAATTTAAAAATAACAGTAGGTTAATTTTAATTCATGACATACACAATGGCATTCAACCAGAAGATATTGGCATGGCAATGTCTAGAGACATTTTTGTTGTCACAACTGGTGGGAGAAGAAGGGTTTGCTACTGGCATCGAAACATCCTACAATACACAGGACATCACTCACAACAAGCAATTATCCTGCCCCAAATGTCATTAGTGCCAATCTTGAAAAATCCTGCTATAAAGTAATTTTAAGCAACAATCTGGAAATTTTGATGCTATAGGAAAACAAGTTGGGTAGCTTATTATATTCCCTGGCACACTGGGCTATTTGGCCCAGAGTTAGAAAGCATAAACTGAACTCATTCCTAAGGTATCAAACCTTTAATTTTCATGCAAAACAAGAAAGACATGTTATACAGTGCTCTGGGCCATGGCAACAATGCAAGTGTCCCCTCTACCCCCTAACCACTTTGTTCCTGTATATGCAAATTAACCCGTCTTTGTTGGGTTAATTTGCATAGTCACTCCTAATTGGCTGGTGGGCATCATGAAGGTGTGGTCAATTAGCATGTTATTCTTTTATTAGGTAGATACCACTTGAACATCTTTAAAAATATATTTTATTGATTTTTTACAGAGAGGAAGAGAAGAGGGATAGAGAGTTAGAAACATCGATGAGAGAGGATCATCAATCAGCTGCCTCTTGCATACCTCCTACTGGGGATGTGCCCGCAACCTAGGTACATGCCCTTGACCAGAATCGAACCCGGGACCTTTCAGTCTGCAGGCTGAAGCTCTACCCACTGAGCCAAACCGGTCTCGGCCACTTGAACATCTTTAAAGTATAAAAATTTTTAGCCTCATGCCTCATGGTTATATAAATTTTTTCCCAGAGGAGTAAAGGCATAATACCCATGAAAAGAGGATATTTCTATGTACTCTTAAACTAAACTGTGCTAAGGAATACAATAAAATGCAATTTTAAAAATCTAAGTAGAGCTTGGCAGATGTTGCTCAGTGGTTGAGCATCAACCCATAAACCAGGAGGTCAGAATTTGATTCCCGGTCAGGGCATAATGCCCAGGTTGTGGACTCTATTCCTAGTAAGCAGTGTGCAGGAGGCAGCAGATCAATGATTCTCTCTCATCACTGATGTTTCTATTTCTCGCTCTCTTTCCCTTCATCTCTGAATGCAATAAAAACATTTTTTTTTAAAAAGAATATTGACTTGTTTAAAGAAAATCTAAGTATTGTATGCCTCAGAAATTAGACTATGCCATCAAATTGAGATGTGGATACCTGCATTATAAAGTTGAAGGCTTTTGCAGATTTTAGATCATACTACTTGACCAAAGGATTTGCTTTAGATATCCATTATACTGTGACTTAACTGCGTTAAAAGAACTTTTTAGTTATACATTTCCACCAACATCTGATCATGCAAAAGCCTTGGTTCACTTTTTTGCTCCTCAAATACTTTGGTTTAGTGCACAGAGAGTTTTCTTCTTAACTACAACACAGTTAAGTATGTCCTTATAGAATGATCAGAAGCATCTGGAAAAGGTGGAAGTGAAAAAATCCTCAATGGGAAAGTTAGCTTACTGCTTGCCCTTCAGAGTGGCCCATTATCAACATTTCATAGTGGGTTTCTTTATTTTCAGGTCCCTGAGGTATACGCAATAAATTATGACAACCTAAACAAGTCACACTTGGCTCCAAAATGAAATTTTCCTACCACTACTTTCTAGTCCCCAAGGTGGGAAAAGGAAATCCTGGTCACAGCCAAAGAAGTCATATTTTTGGCTCTAACATTCATTTTCCTGCTTCTCTAAAAGCCAAACTCTGCAATTGAGACTACAAAAGTCTTAAGTTAGTATTTTAAACTGTATTTTAATTTTTACTTCTATAATCTGTGCCTCAATTTAAGGAAAAAAATTAGTATTATAAAATTAACGTCACTGCCTTCTTTTCCCCCACTCAAACGACTTATCTAACTCAGACATTGATTCTAGCTTTCTAAAATAACAATTTAGCGCTCACTTCAGCAGTACATACACTAAAATTGGAACAATACAGAGAAGATTAGTATGGCTCCTGCACAAGGATGAGATGTATGATAAAATAAGAATTCAAATCAAACAATATAGAAAATAATGCAAAAACAGATTGTTTCATTTTTATATGATAGAATATTTGTTTGCATTTATAAATAATTTCTACTTATTCTTGCATGATAGACTGAGTATTAATGTAAAAGAAAACAATAAAGTCCTAATTTGTGGTCCAGTAATTTGAAGCATGGTATTAGTTTTGGAAAAGCCATTTCAGGAAATCATTTGTCCTGGCCAGTTTGGCTCAGTTGGTTGGGCACTGTACCATGTACTGAAAGATTGCCAGTTTGATTCCTAGTTAGGCCACATGCTCAGGTTGTGGGCTCGACACCCGGTAGGGTGGTACTAGGCATGCAGGAGACAGCCGATCAATGTTTCTCTCCTTCCCTCTTTCTCTAAAAATCAATAAAACCTTTAGGAATAAATAAATAAATTTAAGAGCTAAGCCTATATGAAATTCTTTGAAGAAAACATTAGGGCCATGACCTTGTATTTGGCAAATGTTTTTGTTAAGTATGTCACCAAAAGCACAAACAACAAAAAATAGATAAAGTGAACTCACTAAAACTGCCATATTTTGAATTAGATTAAAAAAAAAAGGTCTGCTGCTTGTGTCTATAGACGCTTATGTCAGTTAACTGGTTAAAATTTCAGAATGTCTTTTATATCCATAGTAGTACAAATAAATATTATTATTAACAACTTCTTTGGTCATTTATGAATTTTAAGAAACCACTTATAATGATGCTCTGATTTATTTCAGATATTAATATTTCAGATATTCAGATATTTCAGGTATTGACTACTATATTCTGGTCATTTCCAAACGATAATAGACCTTCTTAATTAGAAAAATCGCATACCTACACTGTTAAAGTTTATAAACATCAGTCTTTGGATGGATGCCTTACAAATATGCTTTAGCTGTGAAAAAAACAAATGCCACGATTCCTTTTTGAAGTCTCAATTCTAAATCTTTTACCCCCCATGCTCCTGACTTTGGGCTTGGGCAAATGACATGCTATGGGCTAAAGGTTAGAAAATGTGGAAGTGCTTATATAGTCAAGCCTGCCTTCTTGTATCCTTGCCATTGCAATGACAGTATGCTCTGGCTAGTCTGTTGGTCCATGAAAAATGAGATACATATGTAAAACAGTCCTGACTCAGTCAAGCCCAACCTACAATGGTCAAACCACAGCAGGATGACTGAGCCCAGGTGAAATTGCCCAATATGCCCAGCCTAGATCATCTACTGCCCAGCCACCACACTATACACGTGTGTATCATAATAAATGATTGTTGTTTTAAGTCAGAGTTTTAAAACTGTTTATTACACAAGAACTGATCCAGACATATGGCAAAAAGAAATACACTTCCTTTATATCTAGTATTGCAAAAAAAAAAATTTCCCTCTTGCCCTAACCTGTTTGGCTCAGTGAATAGAGTGTAGGCCTGCAGACTGAAGGGTCCCGGGTTCGATTCCAGTCAAGGGCATGTACTTTGGTTGTGGGTACATCCCCAGAAGGGGGTGTGCGGGAGGTAGCTGATTGATGTTTCTCTCTCATCGATGTTTTAACTCTGTCCCTTTCCCTTCCTCTCTGTAAAAAAATCAATAAAATATAGGAAAGAAAAAAAAGAATTTCCCTCTTTATCTGTCCCTTATTCCTACAACTCAGATTACTCTTAGGTCTATCCCATTTGGCCCTTTTAGGAACCACTATGGATATTAGGCAAACTAGGTCAACTTCTTTAGAACAAACCTCCTCCTCCCTACCAACACCTCATTGTCTTCTGTTATTCTACTTTGTACAACTAGAGCCACTGGAATTCATTTAGATAGAACTATAACAAGGAGGGTCATTACTGAGGAATGTCAAAACAGACTATAGGGTGTCTGTATGACAGACTGAGATGCTGCCTGCAAAGAACTTATTGTGAGAAAATAAAGCACTAAAAGCCCAAATTGACATAAAAAAATGTCCAGAATCATAGTTGTTGGAAGTGAGGGTAGAGAAAATGGAAGTTAATATAATTTTTTTTCTTCACAAGTAACATTTTATTTAATTTTAAGAATTTTGAAAGAATAACATATAAACACCTGTGTTCTCACTGTATTTTCTTAAAGCTTGCTTTTTACTAAAACAAACAAGTATTATAGAAAATGCTGAAGTCCTTTTTATCATTACCCTCTATACCCATGATCGGCAAACGATGGCTCATGAGCTATATACAGCTCTTTGGCCCTTTGAGTGTGGCTCTTCCACAAAATTTCACAGCTTGGGTGAGTCTATTTTGAAAAAGTGGCGTTAGAAGTTTAAGTTTAAAAAATTTGTCTCTCGAGCCAAAACCGGTTTGGCTCAGTGGTAGAGCATCGGTCTGCGGACTGAAAGGTCCCGGGTTCGATTCCGGTCGAGGGCATGTACCTTGGTTGCGGGCACATCCCCGGTAGGGGGTGTGCAAGAGGCAGCTGGTCGATGTTTCTCTCTCATCGACATTTCTAGCTCTCTATCTCTCTCCCTTCCTCTCTGTAAAAAATCAATAAAATATATATTTAAAAAAAAAATTTGTCTCTAGAAAGAAAATGTTTTTAAAATATATTTTTATTAATTTTTTACAGAGAGGAAGAGAGAGGGATAGAGAGTTAGAAACATTGATAAGAGAGAATCATCGATCAGCCGCCTCCTGCACACCCCCCACTGGGGATGTGCCCACAACCAAGACACATGCCCTTGACTGGAGTTGAACCTGGGACCTCTCAGTCTGCAGGCCGATGCTCTATCCACTGAACCAAACTGGTTTTGGCTCAAAAGAAATTTCAATTGTACTGTTGGTTAATGAATTTGCCAACTACTGCTCTATACCATTTATTTCTCTTCTCAGATATACTCAAATTATGAGTTTGATGTGAATCCTTTTATATCTGTTACTTTGTATTCAGTACAAACTATTATTAGCCATAAGGATTTTTCCCCCAGCTCTGAAAAACTCATATATAGGTCCAAAATAGAGAAATGATTCAAGCAACAATTTAAAAAGCTAGTTTTTTGGGGGAAGGTGACTTATTTAAGACATTGGAAGAACGTGTGGTTCAGAAAGAATGGAAAAACACTCTTTCCACTTTAACAAAACAGTATTAGTGCAATAATATAGGGCCAAGGTAAAATGATAAGACATAAAAAAGAGACAATACCACTGCCAACAGCAGTGCCATCAGCAGCACTCAGCTTCAGCACTAATGCTGTTGATGGTGAACACAACAATTTTCCCGAGTGGACAGCAAGTGTTTCATCAGTAGCAATAGCCAGAGGCATCATTGGCCATTTTAGAACAGCAACCCTGGGCTGGAGAAAGGTACTGGAAGGCACCAGTTACTGAAAGGAACTGATATCCCTTATGGACTTTCAGAAATTTTGAGGAGCTCCAGAGATTAGTGAAGAGTAGAAACTAGCCAGAGAAATACCGTTTGTTACTGTTAATATTATATAATTCACAGTGTCTAGTAAAATATTAATAGTAAAGAAGATAACTGCCTGGAGAAAGAATTCCTACTTTGGTAAAAAACCCTAACTTTGTGCTCTGGGAGGAGGGATATGAATTATACTCAATGCGGTCAGCTCAGTGGTCAGAAAACCTCAATTTTTGGTCTCAGATTGCTAGCATCTTCAATTGCCTGTAGAAAATAAATAAAAATCCTCCTCGGCTGAAACCGGTTTGGCTCAGTGGTAGAGCGTCGGTCTGTGGACAGAAAGGTCCCGGGTTCGATTCCGGTCAAGGGCATGTACGTTGGTTGCAGGCACATCCCCGGTGGGCGGTGTGCAAGAGGCAGCTGGTCGATGTTTCTCTCTCATTGATGTTTCTGGCTCTCTATCTCTCTCCCTTCCTCTCTGTAAAAAATCAATAAAATAAATTTTTTTTTTTTAAATCCTCCTCGATCAAAGATAACATCATCTTTGGCTTCAAATTATTGCTACAAGTAATTTTTCAAATATAATGTTTAGCAAGCAATCAGTGATAATGAAGCAAAACTCCTGTTTTTGGCCAAGACCAGAATAACTGGTTTGGGAATATCCCTCCCACTGTAAGTGATTGTAAAACTGGACACAACAGATAAAGCAACTGCTTTTAAGGAGTAGACATCAGGCAACATATGACTAATCTCAGAGATAAGGGAAATCCATTAGGTGAGCTCCATGATTCTCTGCTCTTTTCCTGAGTAAAACTTCCTGACAGCAACACAGAGCACTGAACCGGCAGAATACAGGGTCCTGCTGAGCTGAGGTGGAAGAGAGAATTTGAAGCAGCTAAAATCACTGCAATCTGCAGAACAGGGCATGGCATTGGAAAGAAAAGAGCCAGACAGAAAAAGGGCCCCACAACTACAGGGGACCCCTGTTAGTCTGTGGCTAACAGCTTCACAGAATGCAAACTGCTGGCTCTTCCTCCATAGGTCTGGATAGTCTGAGAATATGTATTTCTGTCAGATCATAGGTTATACTGATGTTCCTGACGTGGAAGCACACTTGGAAAATCACTCTGGTAAACAATAAATAGTATAAGTTAAAAGTACAATTGACACTCTTCCTATCCAGAACACGCCCATGTCTTTCCATTCCCCTCTTCTTACCCCCCAGCAAGTAACTTCTCTCCCCCAAGCTCCAAGGGCCCTCCCTCCTTTTGCTTCTGTAACTTAGTTTCTGACCCTACGCAGCTCAGCTGGCTCATTTCTACTACCTCTCTAACTTCCTAAATAAACTTTCTCTTATAATTTGAAAAGACAAATAAAATAAACCAGCATCTACTAAACCTTTCTCACTCACTGAGTCACTATAAAATTAAAATATCTGAAGATACAAGAAAAATGTGTAGTTAACTTAACATAAAATCAATAACTCCTATGATAAAATTTCTTAAGACTTTGAAGGCCTACCTGAAGATCTTTCACATTTGGAAAAGGAATTCCTATTGTTATGACAGCGCGGGCATTGTCATCTGAGAAATCCAGACCCTCACTCACTTTACCACGACAAACTGCTACCAGGAGGGCTCCATCTTAAGCAACAGAAAATAAACATTTTAAAAAGCACACTCAACATTACCAGAAATTGCCTTTTCTTGTCATTTTGAAAAGCTCCGATTAAGTCATCATAGTAACAAACTTAAGAGACTCAAACTTAAAAACTCTTATGAAAGTTTTTAAAGTTCAATGTCTTTAAATAAATGAGAAAAACAAAATTACATTTAGGTACAATGTGGTAACAAATAAATTTACAAACTATGTTTCTCAGAGAAACACACAGTAAAACCACATCAGAGTAGTAATTGGCACATGAACTAAGCAATTGTGAACCAACAGTTTTATCTTTAGAAACTGAAATGGCAACCCTTACCATTACCACAAGCATATGAAGTTCTCAGAACTATTTAAATAATTCTCAATTTGTATAATATATCATATTGAATCAAATATTAAAAAGTATGTACAACACACACAGAATACTCATCATACAAGGATAATGACAAAGTATGTTATAGTATCTTTATGATCTTGCATTGTTCATAAATTAGCATTTTCTAACTTTCATATTCAGTCTTCACTTATGTTTTGAAAACTCAAGTTTACCTTATATATTAGAACAGTGGTTGGCAAACTCATTAGTCAACAGAGCGGCTCGCAAGCTGCTGTTTGCCAACCACTGTACTAGAATATAAACACAAAGTATATTATTTGCATCAAAATGTAGGGTTCATTTGGCTAGTAAGGAAGATCTTTAGGCCTGCTCTACCTGCCTTTTTTCACAACACATTGTGGGTAGTGTAGGGATGACTAAGGAATAATAACTGAATGTTTCCCCAATTGAAAACATTCACAGAATAACTCCAAATAAAAAATTTCTTTCACTTATTTTCTTTTTACTCAGGAGTATAACATATAATTCTTCCTTAAAATGCAATTTAAAAAGATAACACAAATAATGTTCTAACAGCACCAACTTCTTACTTTACAGTAAAAAATCTTTTTTCATTAGTCATACAATCATTTCCAATTACCTTTTTCTCCTTTGCACTTGATCGCATCATAGTACACCTGTAGTAATTCATCAAAATCAGTTTTTTCTCCTCCCTGTGGTTCTACAATGACGGTCTTCACCAACTCCAGATTATGCCATAAACCAGTAGAGAGCCAACGTTCTTTTAACTTTTCTAATAACTAAAAAGGAGAGGGAAAGTGAATTTTGTGTGTCAAACTTACCTGAATTTGTTTAAAGCCAATGTGGCTACAACATGACTATGGCAAGCATATTAAAGTTTTTGTGTATTACATTTTTCATCTATAAAATGAGGAAAACAATAAGTCATAGAGTTGTAATTGGATTAAATTCATTAACCAATTTAGATAGCTTTGAATGATGACTGGCACTAGTAAGAGCACCATTAATGTTAACTGCTGCTATTACCATTACTATTACTACTACTACTAACACTACTAGTACTGGTGCTGCTACCACTTCTATTATAGTTCTCTTGGGAATTTCGAAAGCAGGGGGAAAAATGGAGGTATATGTATTATCTGACAAATAATTCCAAATATTCATCATAAAGATGCTCAACAAGCTCAGAAAAATGATACATTAACAAAATAAGAACTTCAAAAAAGATATATAAAATATAAAAAGGACCAAACAGACATTTGGAGCTGAAAGAAAACAATCATTGAACTAAAAAACTTAATAGAGGGGTTCATTAACAGCCTTGACTAATGAAATTTTTAAAAATCAGTGAACTAAAAAAAATAAGTAAGTAAAATTTTAAAAAATCAGTGAACTCCTCCTGGCCAGGTGGCTCAGGTGGTTGGAGCGTCATCCCAGGAGGCTGCAGGTTGGATTCATAGTCAGAGGACATATCCCGATTTCAGGATGGGGTGTGTGCGGAGGCAACAGATCAATATTTTTCATGTTCATGTTTCTGTCTCTCTGTCTCTCTTCTGTCTCAAAACATATCCTTGGGTGAGGATTAAAAAAAATAAAAATTAGTAACACATGTACCAACAAGAATGAACATAAGTCTATATGTATTGAGTTTAAAAAAAAAAAGTAAATTATAGATATATAACATATAAATGATTTTATTCTTTTTATTTTAATTTATCTTTACCAGTACTGTTGAAAGTATTACAGATGTCCCTTTCCTGCCGTTCCCCCCCCACCAGCCAATGACCCCCTCCACCCTGTTCCCACCCGACTCCAGGTCTTCACCACACTATTGTCTGTGTCCATGAGTTATACATATATGCATACAAGTTCCTAAGTTCAAAGACAACATATTATCTTATACATATATAAACTTTTTAAAAAATAAGCAACATTAATGTCTCTAAAGATGAGAGGATATGATTATGAAGGGGTACATGGAGAAATGTTCTATTTTTTGTTGAATGGTGGATACTTAGAAGTCCATTCTATTATTACTGAAATGTGCATATTAAGTTTATATATTACATACATTATATTTCACAATTAAAAAACATAAAGATAAAAACAATACTACTCTCATATTAATATGGATGTGTTAGGGGGGTTAGAATGGGTACATTTAAACTACTGATATAGTAATCCAGAGACGGATGTAGCTTGGATTAGAAAGTATTAAAAAAAATTTATGGAAATGTGAGAGGAAGGGAAAGAAGTATAGCACAACCTTTCAATTTCATATGGAGGCAAAAGTCCATCCAAGGATTTTATAGAAAAATGAACTTTATTGAACTCACTGTTTACTGTTAAGATATAGATTTAGTGATATTATGTGAACTTATATATTTTTATCCAGTGGAAATGCAAATAATTTCTGTCCAGGAGAAAAGATAACCCCAAATGTAACAGATTATTAGTCTGCAGTACATTAACCAGTTTTTTATTTAGGTCAGCAATCTTATATTGTATTCCTTTATAAGTACATAGCTCCTGTAAATATTGTCCGAATCAGCCTTAACATCATATTCATTCTCTTATTAGTCAACTAGTTGAATAAACTCTGACAGGTGATCACTTTATATTGACATGTGAGTCATGATTTTATCTTTTTGAAAATTATATTGTAGAGAAGGTGAGATTATAAAATATTTAAAATTAAAAGGATCATATTCCCAGGTTATCTGATTAGTCCAAATATAGATTATGGTACCATTCACTCATAAAGGCAACACTAGAAAACAACCAAGGTTGGGAGTTTACAAATTTTTTGCCTTTAAAATACTCGGATTGATATATTAATCTGGCAATGAGTAGGGTGAGTATGATGTTGTGATTGATAATAAGAAATATATATTTGGTCTTTATCCCTGCTCCAGGAACAGAAGTCCAAAAACCCTTGGAATTTCCTGAGCAATAAGAGCTTTAAGGACATCTTTTGTTCCAGTTCCTCAAATAGCTCCATGGCCATAAAGTGACATAATCTATAATAATAAAAGGGTAATATGCTAATTAGAACAGATGTCCTTTCAGAAAAAGCAGGAACTGGAGGGAAGTCCAGGTCCTAGGTGCCTGCCAGAGGCCACAGGGAAGCCTGGATCCTGGGTGCCTGCTGGCAGACAGAGCAAAGCCTGGGTGCCTGCTGGTGCTGGAGGGAAGCCTGGGTCCCAGGTGCCAGAGGGAAGCCGCTGCGGGCAGCCGGGGGAAGGAAGGCCGACTCTTGCACAAATTTCGTACATCAGACCTCTAGTTTGTTTATAACAAGCCCCTTTGAACCACACGTGAGTGTATGGTTTTTGGGATTTTTAAAAAAATATATTTTATTGATTTTCTTACAGAGATGAAAGGAGAGAGATAGAGAGCTAGAAACATCAATGAGAGAGAAACATCGACCAGCTGCCTCTTGCACACCCCCTCCCTATCGGGGATGTGCCCACAACCAAGGTACATGCCCCTGGCCGGAATCGAACCTGGGATTTTTCAGTCCACAGACCGACACTCTACCACTGAGCCAAACCGGTTTCAGCATTGAACCACACATGAGTGTATGTTAATTAGACTTTGGACAGTCCCTAAGTAACCTAAAGATGGTGGATGGTTGCCAGGGGAATCAACCATATTATTAGAGGGTTGGGCCACCCCCAACCTCCAGGGAGGGAAGAAGGGCTAGAGATTAAATCAATGGCCAATAGCCAATGATTTAATCAGTCGAGCCTAAGTAAGGAAACTGCCATTAAAATCTAAAAAATATGGAGTTCAGAGAGCTTCCTCCTTATGCAGGAGGGAGTAAGCTCCAGTAATTGAGATCCTCCTAGATCTCACCCCATATACTTCTTCATCTGGCTGTTCATTCTGTATCTTTTATAATATCTTTTATAATAAACTGGTGGAGGTAAATCAATGTTTCTGAGTTTTGTGAACTACTCTAACAAATTAACTGAACCTGAGAATCTTTAGACAGTCTTGTGAGATGGAGCTCTTAATCTCTGGGATCTGATACTATCTCTAGGTAGATAGTGTCTGAAATGAGTTAAATTGTAGCTGGAGTTGCAGAATTGGTTGATGCATAAAAACTGTAAAAGCCCACACATTTGGAGTCAGATGTGAAGCTGTGTTGTAATAGATTACTGAGAATAGAAGAGTCACACAGCAGTGAGTTTTTTCTTTAGACTGTGTTACTTAGTGAAGAAATCAGAATCCTATCTAATAAAGAGAATATGCTAATTGACCCTCATGCCGTCGCAAAGATGGCTGCGCCAACAGCCAATGAAGAGTGAATATTCGAATTGACTGTCACACCCTCAAAAATGGCAGCACCCACAGCCAATAAGGAGGGAATATACTAATTGACTGTCATGCCCTCAAAGATGGCAGCACCCACAGCCAATAAGGAGGGAATATGATGATGGCGCCCACAGCCACAGAATGGCAGCGCCCAGTGCCCTCAGCCCTGCCGAGGCAGGCCCGGCCTTGCTACGTGCATGCCTCCGGAGTCTCCCAGTCCCTTCAGCCCACCAGCCACCCAGGGCCAGCCCAAGGCACAGGCAAGCCTCGGATGGCAGCTGCCCAGCTGCTTAGGACCACCCAAGGCTCAGGTAACCAGGGCCAGCTGAAGCCTGCACTGCCAGCAGTGACAGCAGCAGAGGTATGATGGGGACATTGCCTTCCCCTGATCACTGGGTCGCTTCCTGCCCCTGAGGAGGCAGGCCGGGCTGAGGGACCCCCTCCAGTGCATGAATTTTCATGCACCGGGCCTCTAGTTGGATTATAAACTGGGAAAGCAAGACAATAGATGTTCCTGAAAGAGTACTTTTGGATGAGACTGACTTACAGTAGAGAACAAAAAGAAAAATGTCCACTAAGAAAACTTTACTCCCTCTTTCTATCATGATGCACATCTAATCTATCAGCAAATCCTTCCATTGCTACTTTCAAATTTTATCTCGACTCCAAAAATACTGCTACCACAGTGGTCCAAGGCACTACCATCTCTCCAATGAGTTATTACAATAGACTCCTATATAGCCATCTTACTCTTATAGTCCATTTTCCATACTGTAGCTACTATAATCCCATTAAAATTAAGTCTAAAGCCTCAAATGGATTCCTACTGCATTTAGAAAATATAGCAAAAGTTGAAACCGGTTTGGCTCAGTGGATAGAGCGTCGGTCTGCGGACTGAAAGGTCCCAGGATCGATTCCGGTCAAGGGCATGTACATTGGTTGCAGGCACATCCCAAGTAGGGGGTGTGCAAGAGGCAACTGGTCAATATTTCTATTTCATTGATGTTTCTAGTTCTCTATCCCTCTCCCTTCCTCTCTGTAAAAAATCAATAAAATATATTTTTTTTTAATAAAAAAAATATATATAGCAAAAAATACCAATTATTTTTATGGAAATGGTTCATCACAAACTTTGTTTTAGATAAAATATTTAGGTCTACAGCTTTCCCATTATCACTCAAACTGCACATTTTTATAGCTTAATTACTTCCCCCTTACTAGAGAAATCATACAAATAATTACTAAACACATATATAATTCAGTTGATTTTTAAATTCTCTTGAGTATCATAACTAGGTATCTAAAAGTCAAATAACTTAGAGGAAAGTACACTGACACAAAGCCATCTCTCAGGTTTAAGATTTATATATACGAAAAATATGAGTCATCTCTGTTATAGTTTGGTTAGCTAATAAAGAGCAAATACTATTCACACAAAGAGACTAACCCACATATAGTG